GAGGAAGAGCCGGGAGGCTGGAGAGGGTAAAGGAGAAAGAGGAAGAGAATGGCCCGAGGCAGGCCCTGGCAGGACTTCTCCTTTGAGGGAGACACAGCCACTGAAGTGTTTGGACCAGCGGAAGGTGCGACACGCTCTGACTTCCGCTGGAAAAGATTGCTCAGGCTGCCATGCCGAGAAGAGACTGTGGACGTCAAGGGTGGCAACAGGGAGACAAGGGAGGAGACGTGGGGGTTGGGAGGTACAGTTGAAGGAGCAGGCAGATCCCCGAGTCTGGACTTTGAGGTGGGAGCTCCTTAGCAGGCAGATGGCTAGAAGCACCCAGGAAATGCATGGATGTGGACGGAGAACAGGCCCAGACGACCCTGGGGCCCTTGGCCACGATAGGGGATGGGCAGCAGCAGGGGGACCTGGAAGCAGGGGTGCGGTGTGGGGGGGGCCACGGGGCGCCCAACGGAGAGGTCCCTGGGGAGTGGGGGCAGAAGAGAACAGGGCCCCTGCGTACCAACAGCTGGAGGGGTTGCAGCCCCGAGGGAGGGGCAAAGAATAACCTAGACGAGGGGGACGGAGCTGACAGCGAAGGAGGAAGCCGGCCGCGGCGTCAGAGGCCAGGCGCTGGGGCGCAGCAGGCCTCACTCGGAAAGCGGAGGGAAGCCGTGGGACAGCCCCCAGCCCCAGCCAGACCTGCTCTTGGTTGGCTGTAATCTAGAGGTCCTCTTTACTGGCCGGTGCTTTTCACGTCTTTCTTTACCTTTAGATTCTCTTACAGTAACCTGGACTTGGGGGCGTCCCACACTGCACAGACCAGTGTGAGCACCACCAGTCAGGACCCGGAGCAGCTTCAGCAGCTGCTGGGATGTTTGGAGTCCCTGCCTGCTACACAGCGAGGGCAGGGCCTGACTCAGCGGTCAGAGAGAAGGACCAGAGACCCCAGGGACGGCAGCCACGCAGGCTGGAGCCCGGGAAAGATCCAGGGACCAGGCAGCGGGCGTCTCTGCGCTCGGGGGTTGCGGGGAAACGCAGCCGCAGCGCTTGAGGCGGGGACGGCTCCACTCTGGAGAGGTTCGGGAAAGAGGGGCCACAAGACACGCTGATGTACGGCACTGGGTCTGTGCCTCCAAGTCTCAGCCAGAGCCCTGCACCAGGATGCAAAGACTAGGCGAGGGGCAGGGTCGGCGGGGGGCAAGGCTCCTGGTCCTCCTGGACCTCCTCCAGTTCGAGAGGCCCATTAGCCATCGACGGGAGGTACAGGAGCAGCAGATGCAGGCGGAGGCGGTGCAGGGGGCATTGGTGGTGTCGAGGTGGGCTGTGCGCTGTGGGCGGCACTCACAGCCTTGAGGACAATGACATCCTTTTGGGCGTCCTAGAGATGGACAGGTGGCCTGAGGACCCTGCCCTGGCCCCTGGGACAGTCCCAGGCCAGGAGAGGAGCTTCAGGAGGCAGTAAGGGTCACGCACTGGGGAAGAGCGCTGGACCCACCCAGCTGTGACCAGGCTTTCGCAGGGACGCGCTAAACCCCACGGTGGGGATGTCCTCAGACTCCCAAGTGCGAGCTCAGGCCTCCAGGGTGGCCCTCTCTTAGAAACATTTCCCAGTTCCCACCAAACCCGTGTCCCGGGGGTTGACTGTGCCCTTCAGCGTGGAGTGGCCTGAAAACGCCCCATCATAAGACCAATCCCAGGCCATGTGTTAAGAGCCCAAGATTTGCATGCAGGGAAATGGAAGCTGGAGGGAAGCTGACTCACCGTCAGCTGTAAGACACTCAGGATGACTCAAGCCAACGGCGCACGTTGCAGTGGGCAGCCCTGGCACCTTCTGTTGGTGATTGAGCGGCCGCTCTGCGCCAGGCTCTGGCGCCAGGCAGCAAACGAGGCTAGTGAGGGGCATCAAAGTGAGTCTTTGATTACACCCGGGAGGAGGGCCCTGAAGGAGCCTTCCAGGCCAGAGCGACAGAAGCTGGGGAGGGAAGAGCCGGCCACCCTCTGGGGGAGCCGGGGATGAGTTTGAGCAGGGGCCTGGCCTGATCATGTGACCCAGGTCCAGGTGAGGGGAAAGGATGTAGCCAGGGGCACCGGGGCACTGCTGGCAAACTTACCACAAAGGCCTCCAGGGCCAAGGGCGGCAGCACGCCGCTTGTTCCCATTTCTGTGGCTTGAGGGGGTGGCTGACTGCCGGACTAGATTCTCCACCACTATACAGCCACAGCCAGTGTCCCGTTGGCTCTCCCACAATCCTGGCACCAGAAAAGGCCCAAATCATGAGGCCACATCTGCCATGGCTACAAAAAGTGAATTGTTTCTTTCCATTAAAAATGGCAAATGATTGATTGTCAATTTCTGTGTCACCCCGATCTCAGAAGCCAGTCTGGGGAATGAAGGGGCTGACAGCAAATGATGGCCATCTACGATCTGGAAGATGTGGCTTTAACAAATTCAGAGAAAATCCTAAATGGATTTAAGATATGGAATCAGAAAATTCCAATTTTATGGAGCCCTTGGGCTCATTTTTTTTTTTTTTTTTTTTTTTTTTTTCCTTTTGATTGTGAGGTTCTCCTGGTTTAAACTGACCTAGGAGCACTGAGCTTGGCTGACCCCGGGATCCAGACACTGGAGGGTTGAAAGGGATTCATGGTCTAAACCAGGGGGCAGCAATGAACATTGGACATGTCCTTCAGAGCACACGGCATGGCCGTGTACCCAATAAGACTTTATCTACTTATCTATAAAACCAGGTTGAGGGCCAGAGTTAGCTCTTGGGCCACAGTTTGCCAACACCTTGTCTAAACCAAGAAAACCCAACCCTAGAACCTTGGACCTGGAAATGGCTTTAGAACTCACTTTGTGTCCACCCACTCACATGGGGAGGCTCTGGTCTCCCCATCTCAGCACAGGGCCAGCTGGCTAGTGTGGGGCCCAGCTGAAGGCTTCCCATCCATTCTGCCTTCTAGAAACATGAGGGAGCCCAGGCTGGGGGCCCAAGGAAGGAGCAGAGAGAGGCAGCAAACTGAGGAGACTTGAGCACATGTGGAGGTGAAGGCAGGGCAGCCAGCGGAGGCCGAGGGGCTCGTTCTGAAAGCGGGGTCCTGCGGGAGGTGCGGAGGTCAGGGGTGCCTGAGCTCAGCTGGGGCCTCGGTAGCTGGGGAGCAGGGCATTGTGGGAAGCTTTTTCCCAGGGGGCACTTGTGCTGATCTGAGGTCTGCAGATGCCAGTGGGGCAGCCAGGGAACAAGGTGTAGCAAATGTGAGTGGGGGAAGCATATGGCCCCCAACCAAATTCCAGGGACTGAAAGAAGTCGTGTGGTTTGGAGAGTGAAAAGGAGGAGGGTGAGAAAGGCTGGAGAGGCGGTATCGGCAGACTACAAAGGGTCTCTGATGGCAGGAGATGCAGGATGGAAGGGTCTGAGAAGGGAAATGACGAGCAGATCAAACACATCCAGCTGGTGAATCAGGGCATCCGAGCAGGACAGGCTTGGTCGGTGTAAATTAAAAATGGGGCCATTTTCCATCTCAGATGCCTCCAGATGGGGGACTGGTAGGCTCTTAGGCCTGGAGCTCTGATGAGGGGCCTGGGCCGCAGTCCATGGTTATAGCCAGATGAGCCCAGAGCTGTGGCCAGGGCGAGGAGGTGAGCCTGGGGGTGTGCACAGGGAGGAGGGGGACAGGGACAGGCCGGGGCTCTGGGACAGAGTCACAAGCAGTGGAGGAGGTGAAGACAGAGAAACCGGTGAGGTAGGAGGAGGGCCAGACAGGGGCAGTGTCAGGGGGGCCAGGAGAAGTTCCCAGAAAGAGGGGCAGGCGGCCCCTGGGGGATCAAGTAAGATGGAGACACAGAAGGGCTGTTGGACTTAGCAGCACGGAGAGTGATGGGCAGATGTGTCTGGGCCTGGCCAGCATGGGCTGATGCCACAGGAGCCGGGGGACAGAGGAGAGGGCGCTGAGAAACCAGGGAGGGGAACCAACGCGAGAAAGGCCTGCAGTGTGCCCACAGGCTGGGGACTTTCTCTTGCCAGAAAGTTCTGCGGACTCTCTGGGAAGAGAAAGTGGAGAGCCCAGTGTCCAGCACTGTCCCTTTGCCCAGTCACCTTTCTGGGCTCCCACGTTGGAATTCCCGCCCCAGTGCAGGGGAAGGGGTGGGAGGGAGCAGCCAGGAGTCCCGTGAATCCATTGCTCCTGAGTTCCAGAGTATCTGCCCAGGTCAGCCTAGAGAAAGCCACTGCCATTTGTCCCGCATGTGCATCAGGTGACGGGAGGGAGACCGCAGCGGGGCAAAAGACAGACGTTTGTCATGCAGTGACCCCTGCCGTGGGTGTGGGCGGCACTCACCGCTGATGGCCTCCTTCCCTCTCCCTTCCTCGCCCTCCCCGCCCTCCCTCCTGCTCACTGGCCCTCCCCCTCCCCCTCCAGATCCGGGTGGTGAAAGCATTCCGTAGCTCCCTCTACGAAGGCCTGGAGAAACCTGAATCCAAGACCTCCATCCATAATTTCATGGCGACGCCCGAGTTTCTGATCAATGACTACACCCACAACATCCCACTCATCGATGACACGGACGTGGACGAGAACGAGGAGCGCCTGCGGGCCCCGCCCCCGCCCTCCCCCAACCAGAACAACAACGCTATAGACAGCGGCGTCTACCTGACTACGCGCGGCACCAAGTCAGCTACCTCGTCAGTGTTTTCTTCCCGCCCCGGGAGCCCGCTCCACAGCGTGGAGACGTCCCTCTAAGCAGAACTGCTCTCGGCACGGCACGCGCACTCCCCGCACACACACGCACCCGGGCGGGCCGGGCGAGGGCACCGGCCACGAGGAGGGCCCGCCAGGCCGCTGAAGATGCTCGAAGGCACCTGCCAGAAGCCAATGCATTCTAGGCTTCTTACTCAGGAGGACCAGGAAGGGGAAGGAGGAGGAAGGAGAGACCAAGAACAGTCGTGTTCCCCCCTTTTTCTATGGAAGCTTTTTTAAACGAACACTGTAATTCCACCAGATGGTCCCTGTTTGGGCTGTGCAGTGCGGCAGAGGGCTGGTTTCGGTTTATTGAGAGCTTCGTGGCACCTGCTGCAGAGCAGTTGGATCAACGGGTACAACAGGCGAGCACCGCTCTGCAGGAAGGATGCTCCCACCCAGATGGTCCACCGGCCCAACACCCCCTCCCCAGGATGCGTGCAGTCAGCCTGTGTGTGCGTGTGTGCGTAGCCACGTGTGTGCGCGTATAGACGTGTACGTGCACATAGGACCAGATGCATATCTAAAGAATAAGGAACTATTTATCGGCATGATATTTCCATTTCTCTTATCGGGTGTTTTCATTTTAAGATTTCATTATTTATCGCGGCAGGGTTTTTTTCAGGGAACTAGACCGCAAGAATATCCTTCTGGTTGCTTGGGACGCCCCTCCCCCGCACTGCTCCCCTCCCCCCAGTCCCCTCCATCCTCCGTACTCCCAGCACAGCTCCTGGGAAGGCAGGCGCGAGGCCGGAGCGATTACAGTTGGAACAGCTGGAACATTTGCACTTTGAGACCCCTGCCTATAGAGAAAAAAACACCATTCGATGGAATTTTTATTTAAAAGGAAAATACCAAAGTATTGACGAGAATGATTCCCTCCAGTAGGCCGAAGGGGGAGTTTTGCTTTCGGTTTCCTTTGGTTCCGACTCCAATTGCAAGTCCTGAAATATGGCCAGTGGGTAGAGGCTTTCTTTGTCAGAGCCGCGACTTCAAGAGCCGAAGCCAGGCCACCTGCCATGCCTGACCTCCTGGGATGGTCCGGAATCCCCAGAGCAGCCCCAGGAGAGCCAGGTCCATGGGTGGAGGTGGGGAAGAATGCAGAGAGTCAGAAAGAAAGTGGAGACAGACGCTCCATCCAAACCCAGGAGGAGCCGGCACGGCCACAGCGCAGACCCCAGCCCCCTGGGCGCCTCCACCTGGACCCCCGCTCTGCTTTGGCAAATGCCAAGAAGCTGTCGCTGAGACGCCCATAAAGCGACTGGGAAAAGTTCTCGGTCACCACCCGCCAAAGCGCAAAGCACTCTTCGGATCCCGGTGTTCTCGTTCAAGGAAAACTGTGACCCACAAGGGCATGGATTTGGGTCTGTAGCCGCCTACGGCGACCCTGGGGAGGCCAAACCCCTAGGAGCGATGGTCCCTCGTCTCTGTTGCTATAATGGCGAGTGTGGAAGGCTGAGGAGGTCAGCTCTGCCACGTCATCGGCTGAGCACCTGGTCTGCAGGTGGGGAGAGCTGGGCCTGGGCTCCCCAGACGGTTCCCTCGGGAGCCTCTCCTGGCAGTGTGGGCATGCGGCGTGCCAAGCCTCAGTTTTCCTCGAATGCGCGACAACCGGGGTGGGAAATGCAGAAAAAGCAGAGGTTCTTTTACCTTCAGCATTCTTCTGTCTCACATTTTGCAGGGAGGAGGTTGGGGTCCAGCCACGGCTAGTACAGGTGCCTGTCGCTCGGGCCTGGGGCTGAGCCACTGGGGGACAGCTGGGAGCTGAGGGGTGGAGGGGCTCGCTCAGCAGTTGAGCAGCAGCTGGACCAGTGGCAAGGCTGGTTCGCCCATCCCGTGCCCATCCCGCAGCCCCTGGCCAGGGCTCGCCTTGCCTCCACTTGTGTCTGTGTGCCTCCGGGCAGGCGGCGTGCCAAGCGTGCTCGGTCCCCACTGTTAACATTAATGCCATGTCACCCCGGGCAAAGGAATGTCGGTTAGAAAAGCAAATCCCACTTCAAATGCCAGCTACCGATAACTTAAAGCCATCCCTTTCTTCCAAAGGGCACATTGAGAATGTTACCCATTTGTAAATTGTTCCCTAATGTCCTTGTTTAAACAACAACAAACAGGGCAACTCAATTTGTTGAGGGTCTGTGTGTTCTTAGACAAGAACTGAAATTGGAAATGTTTAAATTGAAGAATATACACTGAGTAATGCTATGCTCATGGGCTTCTTTTCATCCTCTGTTGTAGACACAAAGGCTTGCTGCTGCTGTCCAAAGTTGCCTCCTGTACACGGCGATTGTTTAGTCCCTAGGTTGCCTTTCCGTGGGGTGTGGGGTGCAGATCGCTGCTCTCATTTCTGTGCATCTTCAGGCCAGGGGCCCTATCTCGTTGGGAAGCCCCTCTCTCTACAGCATTATCTTATATGGAATGGCTTGGTCAACTGTGTTGAGTTATTAAATCTGTTTTACATTTTTATCTGCCTGTTATAAAGATGAACAAAAATATCTTAATGAGGAAGACCACAGATGCATAATAATTTAAAGTCTGTAGTTGAACTTCCTAATTTAAAGAATAGACCAAAATTTCTGTGTATTGAAAAAGAAAAATGAGAGGCTCCCACAATCTCAGTCTGGGTAGCGTGTGTGATTTATTATTTGGTGAATTCTCCTCCAGACCTAAAGAGAAGCGTCTTCGTCCCTTTACCAAGCTGGGGTGAGCCCCGGGGGACAGCAGGGCTCCCCTGGGGTTGTGGCCACCTTGCCAATCCTAATGGAAGAAGGAGAGGGTTCGACCTCCCTGTGGGGTCAGGCTCGCATGGTGGGCCTCAAACTGTCTTGACCTGGAAGGGCCTGACCTGAATCTCCAGAGTGGCATCCTCAGAGGAGGGTGGGAGCAGGGAACGCTACCCAAATGCCAGAACCCTGGCACACATGCAGACGGCTTCGTTTTTTATTGTGGAAAAGTACAGATAACATCAAGTTTGCCACGTTGACCATTTTTCAGCGCCCAGCTGGGCGGCATTAAGTACACTCAGGTTGGTGTGCGGCCATCCCCACCATCCATCTCTAGAACTGTTCATCTTCCCCAAGGGAAACTCTGTCCCCATTAGACACTAGCCCCCCTACCCCTCCCCCAGCCCGTCCCCCCCAGCCCGCGCCCCCCCATCCTACTTTCTGTCTCTAGGAATCTGACGGCTCTAAGCAGCTCATACAAGCGGAGTCATACAGTATCCATCCTTCGTGTCTGGCTGATTTCCCTGACCATGATGCCTTGTAGGTCCAGCCATGTTGTAGCAGGTGTCAGAACGACCTTCCTTTTTAAGGCTGAATAACGTTCCACTGATTGGATGGACCACATCTTGTTTGTCCATTCATCCATTGATGGACACTTGGGTTGCTTTCATGTTTTAGTTATTGTGAATAATGCTGCTGTGAACATGGACGCGCAGATCTCTTAGAGAGCCTACTTCCAGTTCTTTTGGGCATGTACCCAGGTGTGGGATTGCCGGGTCCTACGGTAATTGTTTAAATTTTTGAGGAGCCACCATGCAGTTTTCCATAGAGGCTGCACCATTTTACATCCCCTGATGGGCTTGTTTTGTTTTGGTTTTTTAAAATAAATTTGTTTATTTATTTATTTATTTATTTTTTGGCTGCGTTGGGTCTTTGTTGCTGCACGCGGGCTTTCTCTAGCTGCGGCAAGTGGGGGCTACTCTTCGTTGCCGTGCGCGGGCTTCTCATTGCGGTGGCTTCTCTTTTTGCGGAGCACGGGCTCTAGGCACGCGGGCTTCAGTAGTTGTGGCACGTGGGCTCAGTAGTTGTGGCTCGCGGGCTCTAGAGCACAGGCTCAGTAGTTGTGGTGCACGGGCTTAGATGCTCCGAGGCATGTGGGATCTTCCCGGACCAGGCCTTGAACCCGTGACCCCTGCGTTGGCAGGCGGATTCTTAACCACTGCGCCACCAGGGAAGGATAAGCTTGTTCTAACTGGGCCCTCCCTGGAGCCTCTGAAGGCAGGCAAATATGTGGCATCGAACCTGGCTGGGCCTCGTGAGCCTCTGGGGGAGCTTTACAGAGCCCAGTGCCACCCCCTCCTGACTGAAGCTCTGAATGGGACTACACGTTTTTACGGCCCCCAGGGCTGGGAGGAGTGGGGACCCCTCCAGGTCTGGTGTCCACTGCTCTAGATTAGACTAAAGCACTGGGCCATCAAGTAGCAAAAGGGATACTGAGGAAGTTCACCTGCCCGAGGAGAGGGGCTGAATCAGGGAAACCCTGGTCCCTGCCACCTCCAGGAATCTAGGCTTGTGTTTCCCTGGGTTCTCAAATCCTCCTTGAATGGACTCTGATTAGTGGGGACTTCCAATGCCCAGAGTCTGTGCATCTGTCTTTCTGCTGGCCTCACATGGTCCTTTGGGGGGCGGGTGGGTGCCATGAGTTGGGGGCAGGCCCACGTGTGAGTTTCCTAGGCTGCTGTAACAAAGTGCCACAAACCGGAAGATGGGGGGCGCTAAAGCACAGGCGTTTCTTCTCTCCCAGTTCTGGAGATCAGAAGTCTGAAATCAAGGTGTGGCAGGGCCACGTACCCTCTGCAGCCTCTAGGGGAAGATTCTAGTTTTTTCCAGCTTCTGGCATCACCGGCAGTCCTTGGCTTGTAGACACATCACTCTAGTCTCTGCCTCCGTCATCACAGGGCCTTGTCCCTGTGAGTCTGTCTTCACCTGGTATTCTCCCTCTGCACAGGCCTATCTCTGTGTCTCTCTCCTCTTCTCATAGACACCAGGCGTATTGGACTGGTCACCCTACTCCCGTAGAATCGCATCTAAGACTATCTCTAAATAAGGTCCCATGCACAGGTTCCGGGGCTTTAGGACGTGAACATGTCTTTGGGGGATGCCACTCCCCATCCCAGCTGGAAAAGAAGAGATGGGCCGAGCCCCACATAGAACCTGCTTTGCCCCCTCCTTCCTCTGGCTTGACAGGCCAAGGAAGGATCAAACATTTATCACTTTACATTTACTCATATCCTTCACCCTAAAGACAAATAACACAATCACTTTGCAAACTCAAGCAAGCCCTACTGCCTGACTTGTCACCCATGAGTGACCCCTCCCTGTGCCCCTCACCCAGTGGACCCTGGGCGTGCCAACCAGCCCCCGTACCTGTGGGTGCCAGAGGGCATGGCGGCCGGTGGCCAGAGCCTGCGCTCCCCTGGTGACAACCTCGCAAATGTGGTGAAGTGCCTGGGACAGTCCCCCAGCCCCCATGCCATCGTGTGTTGAAGGATGGTCCTACCAGCATGCGTCGAGCCCAGCGAGGGTTCCCAGGGAGAACCGCCCAGGCTGGCCTCTTTCCCCCAGGGCGCACCCAAGAGCAGTCCTTCCTGAAGCAGGTGCCATTTGAGTGGGAGTCGGGGGGCGGGGCACGGCTCTGAGATTCCCTAGGCTCGGCATCTTGACTCACTGTCTTGGCATTAATAAAAAGTTGTAACTTTCTAGATACATTTTGGTCTTCTTGAACTCAAATGATACTCCTTAACCCCTCTTTCCAAGATGTAACTAACTTCACTCGCCAAGCAGAATGATTGCCAAACCCTGCAAGGGTCCCAGCAGAGGAGGGAGGACACGTGGGCCCTTCTAGGGGACGTCATTGTGACTCGAGCACACGCTGTGCCATCCTACCTTCCAGAAGTGGTGGAGGGCCTACCCCAGGCACTTCCACCTGGGGAGCCTTTGAGGGGAAATCGAGTCTGGATGGCACCCACAAACCCCCCAGGGCAGCACGGGCTAGAGAGCAAACACCGGGTGTCCCAGTTCATTAGTATCTTTTATTACAGAAAATAAAGTTCCATCTATGTTGCACATTCATTCATTCTATAAATCAGGCTTTAAAAAAATCCCCAGGGGCGCAGTCCCATCCTTCCTTTGATTTTCCTTCCGATGACGTCACCCTCCACGGCAGTCAGGTCCTCTCAAAGGACAAAAGCAGACGCGGCGCCTGGCCTCGGCAGCCCCTCGCGGTGAACTCCCAGCCCGCCCGCTGGAGGCGTGGCTCCTGTCACTGTCCAGACCACGGCTGCCGGGGACAGTCATCGCCTTCACCAGCCCTTCCAGCTGGTCCTCTGGGGGCCGGCGTTCACGGCCCTGTGGCGGTGCCATCCCCAGGCTGCCGAGCGTCACGGACTTCTCTTTGGGCAGGCCTGGACCAGGGCCTTAGGGGATCTCTGTGTCCATGGTATAAATCTGAATGAGATCAGACACAATGTTATCAATGATTGGCTTGGTAAGGTCTTCACTAAACACCTAGAAAGGAGAAGGAAAACAGGTTCCGGTTAGACTCCCTCTCGGTTAACCAAGGCGCCGCCACTAAGCACAGAATCACAGCGCACAGGGGTGGGGGATGGCATGGGGACTCGGCTACTGGAAACGAGGGTGGCTCTCTGCACAGCCGGTTCAGGTCCAGCCTGCCGAGGCTGATCACAAAGCAGAGAACATTCCAGATGGAAGAGGCTGTGGTGATCATCCAACTCATTACAGGAGAGGGGACTTGTCCTGGGTTACATGGGAAGCTGGTGACAGGCTCCTGCCTCCCCCTGGAGCTCTCAGGTCCACAGTCTCTGGGTATGGGAGCAGGGGTGGGGAGTTCATTTCCAGAAATAGGCTAGGTCTCCTGGACCCCACTCTACCCTAGGCCAACCCCTAGGGAACACGTGGACCTGCTCTCTAGCCTGGACCAGAACGCGTCATTTTTTCTTTTCTTTTTTTTTTTTTTTTTTTTTTGCCCCCCCACGTGCCTTGCAGGATCTTGGTTCATGAGCCAGGGGTCGGACGGGGTGGTAGCTCCAAGTCTGAACCACTAGACTAACAGAGAACCTCAGACCACAGGGAATATTCATTGGAGGGAGGTCTCATGTTTTTTTTTTTTTTTTTTTTGGCCACGCTGCACAGCTTTGCTGGATCTTAGTTCCCCGACCAGGGATTGAACCCGGGCCCTGGCAGTGAGAGCACTGAGTCCTAACCACTGGACCGCCAGGGAAGTCCCCAGACCGCCACTTGACTGTGCCACAGAGCTTATAAAATTGCAACGTGAGTCCCCAGGGGCCCAAATGAAGAGGGCTTAACTCTGCAGCTCCCAAGGAAGGTCTGGTCCTGGCCTGGCTCCTGGGAGGGGAACTCTAGGCCCCTGCCTGATGAGAGGGTCTCGGTTTGCCCAGGGCCAAGGGACCTGGGAGCTCATATCTGGTCTCTCCTGGACCTGTCTTCCGTTCCTTTTATCTTTGCTGATTTCAACCTGTATTCTTCCCCGGTAACTAACCCGAACTCCCATAGCCACGAGCATAACGGCTTTTCTGAACTCTGTGAGTCTTCCCGGCAACACAGCGAGCCTGAAGATGCTCTTGGAGACCCCTGATGACACGGCAAGTAAAAAGCAAAACAAGGAGCACTTGGTTGGATGCCGTGGCCCCCGGGCCAGGGGGCTGCTGCCTGGGGAATCAAGGTACCACGAAGGCCCAAGGCCCAGGGCTGAGCTGGGGCAAAAGCTGGACCTGAGTCCACCCTCCTGCACGGCCACCAAAGGAAGCGTGAACTCTCCACAGGCTGTCACTTCAGGTGGGAGATAGTGACCTGGAAACAGCCCCTCCCTCGACCACTGGCTCAGGAAGATCAGCCGTCACCCCCTGGACTCTGGTTGGAAAGTAAATACTTCAGAAATACAGGCTTGCATAGCACAGGGAGATCAGCTCCGTGCTTTGTGACCACCTAGAGGGGTGGGTTAGGGAGGGTGGGAGGGAGGGAGGCGCAAGAGGGAAGAGATATGGGAACATATGTATATGTATGACTGATTCACTTTGTTATAAAGCAGAAAACTAACACATCATTGGAAAGCAATTATACTCCAATAAAGATGTTAAAAAAAAAAAGAAAAGAAAAGAAATACAGGCTTGCTTGTCAGGGTCCACTAGCTGTATGCTCTTGGAGACCCCAAGCCAAGAAATGACCGTTAAAATGTAGTCCAGGGCCGGGACTTCCCCGGTGGCACAGTGGTTAAGACTGTGTGCTCCCAATGCAGGGGGCCCGGGTTCGATCCCTGGTCAGGGAACTAGATCCCACATGCGAGCTGCAACTAAGGAGCCCGCCTGCCGCAACTAAGACCCGGCGCAGCCACGTAAATAAATAAATATTAAAAAAAAAAAAAGTAGTCCAGTGCCAAAATCTGGAAACAATCCAAGTGTCCCTCCGTGGAGGAACAAACCAACATGACGCAGTCCAGCCATACCACGGAACGGGACTCGGCCTTCAAAAGATGGGAATCCTGACACCTGCTACAACTCGCTACTGCTTTAGAGCCAGAGCCTCATCCACCCAGAGGCCCGAAGCACCTGGGCACAAATGGCCACCCCGCTGCCACCGCTGCCACGCTCGAGGGCAGACAGGTGACTTCACAGAAGTGGTGGCTGAGAGCAGATGAGCAGTAAGAATGTCTCACGATTTAGAGGCAGCACCTCGGGGCTGGGCAGGCGGCTCGTCAGCAGCCACTCAGCACCAGGCAAGCGGCCCTCACATGCCCAAAGGATGCCCGGCCGCTCCCGTGCACGGAACTCGGAGCCACCCGGAAAGACAAGAGCGAGCGAAGCGCGGGTGTACCGCCCAGAGGGGCGGGGCCTCGTCCGGGAGAACGATTGCTGGGCACGCGTGTGTCGCCCAGAAAAGAGGCCCGTGGCGGAGCTGTTCCCCGTGCTCTCCTCTCACGAGGGGTGAGAGGTGACGGCCGAAAGCAGGAGGCAGAGAGGTTTGCTGCAGCAGCTCCAGCCCCGGTCACCGTCAGGAACAAGTGAAGAGAAAGGAGAGCAGGGAGGACACGCAGAGGAAAGCAGCCCAGGACGGGCCAGGAAGCAGCGGCCCCTTGCGCCGCCACCTGATTCAACAGAGTGGGGACCTGGGGCTCACGTGATCTGGAAGTCCCCAAGAAGCCCGGCACGGAGCAATGCTTTTGTCCACGCAGCCGCCCTTTGCCCCCCACCTGCCCAGACACTGGGTGTGGGGCAGCTGATGAAACAGCCAAGGTCCCTGGCCTTGGGGGGGGGGGGGGGGGGAAGGCAAAAAGAAACAGCCGAGGTCCCGGGCCTTGGGGGGGGGGGGGTAGACAGGCAATAAAGGACGGTGAATCACAGAAAGAAGCTGTGAGCTCCCAGGAAGGGCGAGCAGGCCGGGGGAGGGAGCCTCAGGAAGGGGGAGGCAGCCACTGTGGGTTCACATGGGAGGGGTGGTGCCCAAAAAGGAGGAGCCTTCCTTCACCTCCAAGTCTGCTTACATGGAATCTCATTGTAGGACAAGGAGGGACAAAGGTATCATGAAGAGAGGGCTGGCAAACTTCAAGTACAGGAAAGGAAAAACGGAGAATGATGTCAAAATCCCATTTTAGGGAACGGTGGGACTACCCAGGGAAACCCGCTAGGACTGCAGCCTTTCTGACAGGCACACTTCACCCAGCTCTCGACAAACTGCTCTCGGCGTTCAGTACGTCTGGGGGCGGCGAGGTGTCATCTGTCTTATCTATCTATGCATCCACCCACCCATCTATCATCCAGCTACCTCCTTTCCCATCACCTCTCCATCCCACCATCCACCATCACCTATCCATCCACACATCATCTATCCACCTACCTACCAACCGCTGTCTTTTTAGAGCACCCCCTATACGTCTTCTGACGTGAAGCCAGACTTATTAACCTCGGATCTACGACAAGCTCCCACTCAGTTCAAAAAAAGTGCTTGGTTGACCTCAGTAGTTCTCAACCAGGGGCGATCCCTATCCCGAGGCACTTGGCAACGTCTGGCGCTGTCCTGCTCCTACATCCGACCCTGGACGTCCACGGTGTCGAGGGCGAGAGCCTGCCTTAGACTATTAGGACAGAGTATCCTCAAGCTTCAAGGTTCCCAAGTAGCCCGTATCTTTCTTTGTGGATAATTACTACAAAGAAATGTGACACCAGGTACAGGGACCTCAGGCAGAGAAGAGGGGGACACACGCCAAGGGGGACTGCCAACGCAGTCACCTCACCTGCCACCATGGCTTCTCGGCCTCGGCCTCAGCGGGCACCTCGACCCCATAGGCCTGCAGGGCCAGGTGGAGCACCGCCACGGCTATGTGCTGAGCCTGGAACCGGAGGCACAGCCCCCCGTGGTAGCTGTCCCGCAGCAGGGCCCAGGCGGTGATGGAGACGGGGCTCCGCTGCCAGCTGTAACGGTTCAGCCAGTTCTTGACGGACAACAGGTAGTGGAGCAGGTACTGCAAAGACACGCCAGTCAGCTGGCCCCCAGTCACCTGCCTCCTTTACTTTGAGCCTGCGGCCTGTCTGCCCACCAGCCACTCTCCCCTAAGCTGTCACGATGTGTGTACACCACAGATCGGATGTCGCCTCCCGGTGTCACTGGAAAAAAGCCCCAGTGCCTTCCACAGGCCTTGCCCCACCCTCCTGCCAGGTTCACCTCCAGCCCCGCCGCGGTCCCCTCAGGCCCGCCTGCTCTCAGCCTCCAGGCCCGTCTCCCAAAACCCGCTCGGCCGCTCTCCATGGCCACCCCGCCACTGCCCCTCTCCGTCAACGTGGCCCTGTGCTGGCCACCATCAGCGATCATTCTCCTCATGCCCTTGGCCCAGCTCAAACATTAAAACTCCAGAAACGGCGTCCCGATCTGCACGACAGGGCAAGGCACCCACAGTCCAGCCTGAGGCTAGGGGCCAGCCAGACACCGGACACTGGCTCTCAGGGCGCCAGGGCCTCTGAATGCCCTCCAGCTCGGCCGTCTGTCAGCTCCCCCTCTGCCCGAACACCACGCTATCCTGAGCCCACGGGGAGTGCCACTGAGGAGAGCAGCCCTGCACCGCACGCCGACAGAAAACGCTACGGCTTGGAATCTCCACCAGCGGCTCTGGGACTAGGGAGGCGGTCGGGAAGGCCCACGTCCCAAGCCCCCACCCACCCACCGCCTCTCTGCAGGCCACCTTTCCAGCTGCCCACAGGGTCTTTCCGAGTGCTCTAAGTGTTCACGTGCCCCTTCTGCTGCTTTCTGAAGCAATTCTTCTGTTGGGACGAACGCGCTCCTAGCTGTGAACGGTGAGTGACCAGGCTTTTCTCGTGGGTTCGTACACACAGCTGAGCTGGGAGTGAGCTCTGAGGCGGGGCAGCAACTCCTGGCACAGGGACTCGGCAGGTCAGGAAACGGGCCCTGCCTCCCTGTGGCTCAGCGAACAAACAACTCATACGGGTCTGGGGACGGGCACGGGCTTCAGAGGGCACGCAGATCCTGGCTTGCAGCCACAGCTGAGCGGGCAGAAAGGCAGCAGCTGAAATTAGAGCTGCCTGACGGACCCCGAGAGTGGCTGCCCGAGCCGGTCACTGCTTCTCCTCAGGGCCCCGCGTGGCTCCAGGCTCAGGGGGCTGCACTTTCTGGAGGAAAAGCAAATAGCTCCGTGCCTCTGGGAACTGTTGGCGACCCCCCCAGCACATACCTTGTGAGGGTGCTGGAAGGAGACCTGGAAACGCAGAACCCGCAGTACGAGCAGCTCACACTGCACGATGCTGTCCCGGAGCTCCCAAAAGCGTGAGTCCAGTTCCAAGGGCTCGCTGTCCGGGTGGAGATACCTGTGCAGAGAAACAGCACAGCTGATGGCAGGAGTGGGCGGCCCCAGGAGCCCCCAGTCATGGGATACCCAGATGCAACGCCAGGGCCCCTGTGCTGTTGGTCAGCATAGGGTCACCATCAACCACTCTCCACCTACGGGTGTACGTATGCCACAAAAACGGTAACCAGAGAGGAAAGAAGCCACTTCTAGCGTTAGCCTCATGGCTGTCCCACCTCCTCAGCAGGACGTCGAGTGTAAAGATGGGCTCTCTGCAGTGTCTCCAGAGGAACAGTCTTTGCACCCGGGGCGGCGATGCCCCGGGCTCTCACTCTGGGCCCAAGGAAGGCATTTGAACACAAGAATGATGCCCTCAGAAATGTATATGTATTTTAGCTTTCCATTTTGTTTCATTCCAGATCTTTGTGTCCTTATTTACACCTTATTCGTCCACAAAACTCCCACCTATGCAAGATCACCAAGCTGTGCGGGAATGGGATACACACTCAAGTGACTCCAGTTCTCTGCCGCTGACTCACCCTTCCCAGCCCCTCCCTCTTCT